TGCAGTTAACATTCTAAAATTTCATTTGTAAAATAAATTATATTACATCCTTAATCGCATCCTCATAAATGTTTTGTATATTTTAAATTATGTATTTAACACCATAAAGTTACATATGTAAATAAAATATATGATCGTGGTGCTAACATAACTTTTTATATAAAGTTTGGGGTATATATATTACATGTGCAAGTTTGGGGTACTTATAACACACCTCTTCAAAGTTTGGGATATTTAAATTATTTTCCCCTAATTTATTTGTGAAACATTTTTGTGTTTTCAATTCACACCTTATACAATACATATATCAACAAACGGAGCCGAAACTATAATGTTGAAAGGCCCACTTTTGCATGTTACATTTCATACTTATGCAGATCTTCCGTTCGATAGACTCTAATTCTGTCAAAGGCTTTCCTAAGGATCCTAAAGAAGCGACAATGAAGGTGTGAGAGATAAAGACAAGGGTTCCTTTTTTATGACTGGTTAATTCTCAACACCTCACACTCTTGTAAAAAATGTTTTTTGCAGAACCTGATGTGCGGAAAAAATGTGCTTATTGATATGAGCATACACACAGCGTATGTGAAGGCCATTCGTTCTGCACAACATTTTATCTATATCGAAAACCAATACTTCATTGGCTCTTCTTACAACTGGAGTCAGTATAATAATCTTGGTAAGATACTTTTGCTGACACTTCAACATCAATAGCAACGTTCAAAAAAATATTTATGGCACAAAGGTAGAGGTAATTATCGTTATATCGATGAATTTGCTGATGTTATCTAAAAGAGTAAAATTTATAAAAGTTAGTTGCATGAAATATTATACTACCTCCGTCCCACCAAGATTGGGACAAGAGAAGGTGACACGATTATTAAGAAAAGTGGGTTTGTGTGGTTGATATTAAATTGATAAAGTAAGAATAAAGTAAGAATGGTTTAGAGCCACACAAACTTTACCAAATTTGGTATGGGACAACTTAGTGGGACTTCCCGAAAAGGTAAAATGGGACAATCTTAGCGGGACGGAGGGAGTATAAAATATGATGCTACTATGGTAGAAGTGTCATTTACTTCATTTCCATCGAAAGGTAACTTCTGCATTACAATATTTATTATTATTATTATTATTTGAGGTGAGTTATTGCAGTCAAATGCCAGTTCTAATGTTTCGAGCTTATTCTGCTAGTGTTTGGTAGAAAATGTAGTTTTTTCATAAGCAATAAAAGGAGGTAAGAAACTATCTCTTAGAGCTCACTGACACCAGATCTTGCTCTCTCATTTCCAAAGGTGCTGACAATTTAATTCCAATGGAAATTGCACTTAAAATTGCGGATAAGATAAGAGCACACGAAAGATTTTCTGTGTATATTGTCATCCCGATGTGGCCAGAGGGTAATCCAACTGGTGCTGCTACCCAAAGGATTCTTTTCTGGCAGGTATGATTTGATTTTGCACAATAAGAAAATGCAGATTATGTATGTTATAGGCTTGTTACTGTAAAGTATATAAAAAATATTCTTCACTTTATGCAAACTGAGTTATCATTTGATTTTTTGCAGAATAAGACAATGCAGATGATGTATGAGACTATATACAAGGCCTTAGTGGAGGTTGGACTTGAAGATTCATTTTCTCCTCACGATTATTTGAACTTCTTCTGTCTTGGAAACCGTGAAGCTCTTGATGCTGGTGATGTGCCAACCACCACTGACAATCCTGCAGCTGCAAATAGTCCCCAGGTATACCCAACAGGAACAGTGCTAATGATGTTTTTTTTAAAGGTAGGGCTCTACCCTAGGTGAGAGGGGAGGTAGGGCTCTACCATATCACGGATAAGGTTGTTGATCTGATTAGTATGTCTATAGGGTGACTTGGCATGCTACTAAGATTTAAGAACACAAGAAGATTTAATTTAGATATTTTCCACTCTTGATCCCACAACTGTTAGGCCATTCCCGCTTTTGGTCTTGAGTTTCATTTTTCTTACTTTGGGTTCATCACTATGGATTTTCACTTTTGGTAGTTTCCCATCATCTATCGGGCAAAAGTAGTGTGTAAGTTGGCAGGATAAGTGGTTAGAACTTGGAAGGACAAAAATTGGTAAGAAATTCATAATCATGGACCAAAACTGAAAAAGGAAAAAGCCCTTGATGAGCAAAAGTAAGAATTGCTTAATAGTCATAGGACCAAAAATGGAATTTTTTCTTCATTCTAATCAAAATTTCAAATCTTCGCATTAGTTGGTGATATTGTTTCTGCTTATTGACAATGTTCGTTCTTTGAACACCTCTTAATTTCAGGCACTGAGTAGGAAAAGCAGAAGATTCATGATCTATGTGCATTCTAAAGGGATGATAGTGGATGATGAGTACGTGATATTGGGGTCTGCTAACATCAATCAGCGTTCTCTGGAAGGGACGAGAGATACGGAGATTGCAATGGGAGCTTACCAACCTCATCACACATGGGCTAGAAAACACTCAAATCCTCATGGACAGGTACTACTTATTACTAAGACCAATCGCTGTTTAAATATCTTGATTAGTACATACTACTATTTCTGCAAAAAAATGTCCTCACCTGGACCTGTTAAACGCCTACATTTGTTTTTTCCCAAATTGACCTTGCCTATGTCCTGCCTGAGCGCCATTATGGGGATGTCAACACTCAACATATGAATTAATGCCGGCACTGGATCTGCATAAACCCAACCGTAACGATTTGGGTCAAGTGGCAGAGAAAATCCTATGCCAGGCTCAGGGGGGGACATTTTATATAATCCCCTCGTCCTAAAGTTTTCTTCTCTTGGAGACTTTGACACTAATAAAGAAAATGAAATTGTGAGGTTGAGTATTATTTAGAAAAGAGGGAAACAATATTATCCACACTTCTTTCCTTAACCAGAAATGGAATGGAAAATATAGGACAGTTCAAAAAGGAGAACGGGAAGAAATTTCTAGGAAGGAGTGAGTATTCTATAAATTTTGTGTGTATATACTAATAAACAATATAATGTGTATATATATAAATATTCATATGCATTTATGAATAACTATTAATATAGATTAGTATCTAATTATTCAATATATGTATATGTGCATACACATATACATATACATATATGTTTTTTTTAAATGTATACATATATGTGTATATATATGTGCGCATATTTTATTTTCTGAATTTATATATGGGTTTTGGGTCAGATTAGTGTATCTAAGGGTAGTGCTAAATGGATTCGTGGAGATTCAGGTAGAATTGGTATGTTGTGGTACCCAACTCTGCCTTTTCACCCACACTGCGCTTAGCTGAACATTGGTTTCGCTAGACTAGGCTTCAGTGCTTCAATTTTCCAAAGATGTTATAGCAAATGGTTTAAAAAATGCACCTTGTACAGATATATGGATACAGGATGTCTCTATGGGCTGAGCATCTTGGAGTTGTAGAAGACTGTTTCACACAACCAGAGTCTCTAGAATGTGTGCGCAGAGTAAGATCGATGGGAGAGGCAAACTGGAAGCAATATGCAGCGGACGAGATCTCAGAAATGAGAGCCCACCTACTGAAATACCCCGTTGAAGTTGACCGCAAAGGCAGAGTTAAACCTCTCCCTGGATGTGAAAACTTCCCAGACGTCGGTGGTAGTATTGTTGGATCTTTTCTAGCCATCCAGGAAAATCTCACCATATGATCCCCCAGTTTTTTTTTTTGAGATTTTTCTTCTCATAAAGTTCAAAGCTTTTTCTGTAATTGTAAAAGTATTGTACCCAGGGTTGACACATGACATTTGTGCGGTACTGTATAGAGATAGAGTTGAAATGATGTATGTAAACAAGTTGTATATTCATACAAACACTCCCGATCACTATGCTAATGAAATTGTCATTAGCTCCTCCCCTCATGGTGCCACTTATTTATTCATGTAAGGATACAGATTTCCATATGTACATAGAGTTTTATCTACAAGTTTAATCGGCACAGACCTATAAGTGAGTATGATATACGGACTATATAATCTTGAATTTGGGGCGGACCTCATTCAGGAACAGACTGAATCAAGCAAGTTAAAATTTTCAGTTCAGAACCTGAACCGCTCACACTGGTTGTGATTTCAGTTCCTCCAGAAACTGGAACTGATTTGTCTTCAAGTTTCCTCTTCTACCTGGAGCTGACCAGTCCAGAACCGCTTTTGGTCCACCTTATCTTGAAATAATTAATGCATGATGAAAAGGTCAGGCAAAACTTCTTTAACTAATAAGTCATTGAAGACTTGGCCCTCCAGCAAGAGGTACAACTCCTCCCTTTCTTCCTCAAACCTGTACTGCCAACTGCTTGTGATTATTTCCTCAACAGCAGCAGCTGCCGCCATGATCTCCATATCTCTAAAATAAGCTTGCCTCTTCTCTCCCACTTCCCACTCATCAAATGAATCCTCATTGGAACAACTTCTAGTACTGTAACTACCTATATATAAAACATAATTTCAGTTTGATTTAGTTGGTGTAAAGCATGACTTTTGAATTGATTATCAAAATGCTAAAAACATGAAAACCTGATTGAAATATCTATCTTTTTTATGTGAAAGAATAAGGCTAAAGGGTCAAATAGGTACATGAACTAACTTAAAGTGTTCAATTAGCCCCTTATATAGAAGGTTCTGCCCGGCCGTCGCCAATTGGGGCGGTTCCCGGTAGAATTTTTTGATGAATTTTTTTGAGCATCTTCTTTATTAAGTCTAGTTTACCCATACCAAATTTCAGCTAAAAATTCAACCGGGAAGACAGTCAAATGAGTTTTTGAAGATGACTGCGCAGTTAAACAGCACAGTACATTTCGGAAAATCATTTGACTGCCTTCCCGATTTTATTTTTAGCTGAAATTTGATATGGGTAAACTAGACTTAATGAAGAAGATGCTCAAAAAATTTCATCAAAAAATTCAACCGGGAACCGCACCAATTGGCGACGGCCGGGCAGAACCTCCTATATAAGGGGCTAATTGAACACTTTAAGTTAGTTCATGTACCTATTTGACCCTTTAGCCAAAGAAAATAATGATGTCTCTGTAGCTTAAATGATAATAGATACTTAAAGGATTTAAAAAAGTTATAATCATACTGACTTTATTTCTTGATTCCATGTTTATTATATTCATAAAAAAGAATGAAAAGTAATTAAAATGTGCATACTTTGATCACCGGCAGTAAGGATTCGATGGGAATTGAAACTTTCATCTGATTCTCTGAAGGGTGACTCCAATACTGATACTGGGCTGTGCTGCTCCTTCTCAATAGCTCCCAACTCTACCTGCTTAGACATATAAACTAAATGTAATTACTAATCGACATTAATAGTCACTAATCGTACCCATATTAGAAAAATAATTTCTAATCACAAGTAAACATGACTTAATAATTGAACAAATTCAGTCGCTCTTTTGATAAAATGCAATAAATAAAAGTAAACAATCTTAGCCAAGGGCGCCCAAAGAATAACAAATAGAATCACAATGTGAATTAATTACACACGGTATGATGCGATTTGTTTTTTAAGAAGCTAGCTAGGGCCGACTTCCCCTAATGTTTTATAAAATATTTATAAGCGTGTTGGTATGGGAAAAAGAAAACTATATACCGTACTCCATATTATTTCGGTGGTTGTCATGACTGTATTAATTAATTCATACTCCGTAATATTCTTCGAATACGTACAAAATAAGAGACTATAATTGAATTATTAAATAAAGACATATATTACCTTGTTATTACATAAACATGAGTATGAATGTATGATCACACAATATTATAAGAGTGATCGACGGTCACTTCTGAAACACAGCGCAATGGAGATTAAACGTGTCATGTTTAATTGATACCGAGTATATTTTTTAATTAATTATTTATACCGTAACAAAATTACATTACGCTACTGGACAAAACCATATCCCTTCGGAGACAAACACGTTAATTTTCCGACATCCATTTAATTTTTTTCATTGTTTGAAGGATTAATGTGACTTTCTATCACTTAATTGATATTACGTGACATGTTTTTTTAAATGTGAGTATGTGACGGCCTGGCGGGAGTTGATGAGTACATTGCTATTTTGACGGTACTAATAGTACCAAAAGAAATACAGAGTACTAATCTTGTATATTAATATTTGAACGTACTACGTATATGTTTATGATATCAATATTAGGTAACTATTTTGAAGTTGATGCATAATTCTAAATGCTGTGTCTGATCACTTAACATCTGATTATCTGGTGATTGTGCTTAGTTTTTCAATTCCAATCGTACTTTTAGATTTACTCCGTAGTATTTAAATTAAATCGTAGTTTATACGTTTTATCCGTATAAACTTAGTGCTTCCCACTGTAAATCTAATTACTACTACGTACTAGTATCATATATTCCCACACCTAGTATATATACTTATCAATTATCATGAAACACATTTATTATGTACACTATGTTTAATGTTGACTAAATTGTATTTTTGTCACACAAATGATTTTCCAATTGGACTTTTACCTACTTTGGATCAAGGTATATCAAGATTGTCGTTCACACTTCACACTTGTACGAAATTTATAATCTACTACGTACTACTATGTATTCTTTAATCAAGATTAAATATATTAAATCTTAACAAATCGGGCATGATTCTTAAACATTATTTCATGTTATTGTTTCAAAACTATTCTCATTAATCATTCAACACATTATACTGATCTCTCAAGTCTTCCCGTATTAATTCATCCCACATTATGTGCTTTAATTTTGTTCTCTAAAAAGTTTACATACATGATACATCGAAATGATGTCGAACACTATTTTCTATAGTGGAAAATGAGTTTTTCTTTTGCAGTGTTATGTGTAATTTTCTTAAAACTTTAATCAATTAGGAAATGAGGATTGAGGAAGATAGTTATGGATTACATAATGGTCGAATTGACGTTAATACGAACTTAGTTATAAGCTTTTTAAAACACACACACACACGCATAACACAATTGAAAAAATATTCATCATTTATGTATACTTTCATGTATACATTATAAAGAGTCAATAGATTTCGTTCCAAAAATAAATACTACTCGATCACTACGTATATCATGTATACTTTTTCCTGGATAATGTGGGGGAATAGGATGTTTTCTTTTGGACTGTTATCAGTCTTACACCAGACAAGCTAAGACCAGACTTAAACAGACCAGACCAGACTTTCGTAGTTATAAAATACACAGAGACCAAACGTTTACCAGACCAGACCAAACTAGTACAGACCAGATCAGACAAAAACAGAGTAGACCAGACCATCAATAATCTTTTTGCTTTGTATCGTGGAAAAATCTGTTTGTACCCACTATTGTACCCATTTTTGTACCCATCATGTCTGTGAGGAGTTCTTTTTTGTCTGTGAATCCCGGTCATAGACAAAAATATGTCTACGAAGACATGATAGGTACAAAAATGGATACAATAGTGGGTACAACAAGAAGAATAGATATTGTATCGTAGCGTAACACGAGTGTATGTCTGTGAAGACTGAACTCTGAAGTACGTAACAATAATTGAAAAGGGATAAATATAAAATTAAATAAATAAACAATAGATACCTGTGGGACCATTTTATTTTCCTCCGTGATGAAATGTCCACCGCCCCCACCGACACTTTCATCAGGTGGACGAAGATTCTCCTTCCCCACCTTCTCAGTCTTTTCGTCGCCGACAACGGCGATGTCCCCGAAACACGAGGGTATATCCTCCGCCGTAAAGTCGCTGTCGCACCAGCTGGATCTCTTGCTGCCGGCGGCGGTTGTGCTCACGGTGGTGCACGTGCACCTATTCGGCGAGTCATAATAAAGATGGCCGTCGTTGGTGTCTGACGGCGCCGTGAAGTCCGCGTCGTTCTCCTCCACGAGACCCCACCGCAAAATGTCTTTGACTGTGACCATGGTGGTGGGACCCTCCCCGCGGAGGTCAACTCTGTTTCCTCTCGACGCGACCGCCGGCGATTTGAAGGGGAGGAGCCTAACCATTTTGATCATCACCTTGTGAATGGCGGAGATGGCGGTGGTTGCCGCCTGACCCACCTCCGTCGGACGTTTGCATGGCGGCGGCGGCTTTGAATGGGAGTGGTGATCCTCTATGAGGAAATCCTTTAACAGCCGTGGGCGGCTTTCACGGCGGGTTTTCCGGCTGGTTCTTGTTGCCATGATTTAAGACAGTACAAACCAATTCGAACCGTGAAAGTGAGTTCTGACAACGGACAAGCTTAATTAGGTTGCTGAGTATCTATGGAGATTGAGAAAGGTGGAAGAGATTTATAATGATGGAAAAGGATGGTTAGTTACTTAGTTAATTGAGGATCCATGTTCTCAATTAATAAGAGAAATGGCGTATAGCCAAAAAATGGGATTTCACTGAAATAGTACTATAGTAGTATAGGATTTCATGTTTTGATTTCCTTAAATATGATTATATATAGGAGTAACATATTGTGTGTACACAAAAAATATAGAGTTCCTTTGGTGACCTTTTTCGGCTAATAAGTTTTATCAATCAAGTTTTTTTTGGAAGTATATGACTTTTGATTTAGCACACCGAATTGTGTAGTAATTAATCAAGATATATACTTTAGATGATCATTTTAACATTTACCATATAGTTTTATTTTATTTTATTTTATCAATGTAATACGTAGTATATTTCCCCCCATAAATTAGCAAAGTTAGCTAATTCAAGAATTCAATTATTTCACTCAAAATTTTATAAAATTCAACATAATCAGTCAATTAAGCTATCTTCAACGTTAACAAAAGGACTAGCGGTATTTTCGTCCAATCATAAATTATTACTCCTACTTAGACATATATACTTCTATTTCATATTTTAAATATATTTTAAATTTCCTATTGTAGAAGTTATATACGGAGTATTTAATTCAACTAATAAAGGTTCAAAAGAAATAAATCTTAAATTGAAATTAATAAGAAGAGGGAAAAGACAAAACCCCAAATATGGGTGCATGCACGGGCAGCACGGTACGTCCAATGTGTGTTTGTTGCTAATAATAATAGAGTCCGCAATTAATAGGGTTTGATTAAATAATTAGAAAACTCGTCGCAGTTGTTGACAGATAATGTCGGAGAAAGACGATGTGAGGTATGTTTTGACGACTACAATAGTGTGGAATACTACTTTCTTTGTTTGGACTTAGCGACTGCAATAAATTCAATATTACTAAAAATATCACTAAATAAACCCATTTTTTGTGGTGCAATTCACTCTAAAGTTGTCCGTTCAATAATCATAATAAAAAACTCTAATGGATACTACGGTGCCTATTTAAGTGTAACAATTTGTTTAATACGGAGTACTACTATACTAGTATGTGAGACGGTAGATGAGGAGTTACCTTCCATTCCATGTTAAAAAGGTTGAATTCTCACCCCCAAAACTCTCACACTCCCATATGCCTCTGCGCGACAAATTATTTGAGAGGATACAAATCAAGGTGATTCAGTAAATCCAATGACGATAGACCTTAGTTTGAACCTGTGCGACTGTGCGATTCAGAAGTCAAGCCCACCACACATGAGCTACAACCACCTCATGATCGTTGCAGATATCGATTCTTCATCAATGAGGATGTTCACATTTAATAAAAACCCGATATCATAATAGATTAGTGAGCATATAGAAATTTTCCCTATTGTTGACCTCGTTTTGGACTTATATTTCTCATCACAACTTTGCCATTAGGCCTTTAATTTATTGTCCATTATATTGCTATAGGCAGACTATAGCTATACCCCAGGCTAAGCTACTTTTGTAGCTTAAAGAAATTTCATATGGACATATGGTATAAATACGTCCATCAACGTGCTAATTTTGAGAGGTACTGAGAAAATTTACTAAATAACAATAAACGTAGCAAGTCTTGTAAAAAGGGAAATTAATTTTTTTGAAAATTCATTCACCCGTAGTGTAAATCTGAGTGGTTTGAATGTGTGCTATCGAAATCACAACATATATAGTATAGAACCACTTTTCAGCTAGCAATTAAGGAACTAACTCACACCCTTTGAAAGATCTAAATCTGAGTCCCTCGAATAATCTAACAGGTTTCCAACATCTTCTATGTATCAACGATTCAACGTGCACAAGAAATCTCTCTCAGCTTGACTGATTGACTGTGGGTATGGTGAAATTCCATGGATTTCTAAGAAGAAGCTAACTTTCACATTAGAGACTAGAAAAAACTACAGTTTTTGCGGCCATTCGTGTTCTCAATATGAATCTAACTGAGAATGCTTGAGGTAAGACCGTGCAAATTTGCATGATTGTACGTCTAACCATATATCCCACGAAATTAAAAATAACACATGGATTTTAATTAATTTACCTGGTAACTCACAATCTCAAGATTTTGTGCGTATATCAAAAGTTAAACTTGGGATGCATGTTACCTAATTTATGAAGTCTCGCATACAGTTAAGAAAAGGTTGTCTGAATTTAATGAGTGTAATATTTCCTACAATGTACAATCCTACAGGACCCAAACAAATGGTAGACTATGACGTGAGCGCTAGAAATTATAGATTGAAGTCCGAATGATTGAAAAACATATAAATATTCTCAAATAAAGATATTGTTTGGGATGTTGAATTTCTAATATATTCTGTCTTAACCGATACTTTTAATAATAATTCATTAAATCCTAATTGAGCATTTTTCAATTGTCGGGGTCTTAAATCTTTTAATCAAAATTTTTATCCTTAAGCAAAAATAGGAGTAGAGTTTCAAAATTCCCAAAATAGGAGTATAACATAAAGATTAAGCAAAAATAGGAGTATAACATAGAGATTAAGCAAAAATAGGAGTAGAGTTTCAAAATTCCCAAAATAGGAGTATTTTTTGTAAATGGACAAGGAAACCCCAGCCTCTTGCTGCCTGCTGCCTGCTGCTACAGTACCGCCGCCGGCCAGGCTTTGCCGGACTGTCGCCGCCGACACCGGCGGAGCTCCGGCGACCACCGCCGGAATCTTCTGCCGCCACTGCCGGACTGCCCGCTACCAACGGTCTGCCTTGGTTACTATACCCAAGGGAACTAGGGGGCAATAATTAATTACAATAACGGATGAACGTCTATCTATTAATTCATCGCAAGAAAAAGAAATTACTCCCAGGAATTTTGTTTGGTTCAGCTATAACATCTCCAAGACGAACCAGTCTCTTCGATATGTTGCGTAGCAGAACCGCCGAACCTAATTAGCGGATTTGCAGAAGACGGCCGGCCGACCTTAACTGATAAAAGTGTGTGTCACCAAATATACAAGCTATTGTGACACTTTTATTTGTGTCAATAAAAGTGTGTGTCACCAAATGTAACATTTCTTGTAGTGATATACCCAAGGGAACTAGGGGAGGCAATCATTAATTAGAGTAAAGGTTTCCGTCGGTCGCCGGAGCTCCACCGCCGGCCGCCGCCGCCTGCCGCCGCCACCACCGGATTGCCGCCGCTGCCCACTCCCTCCCCGCCACTGACGGACTGCCCTTGTTGCCCAAGGGAACTAGGGGGGCAATAATTAATTACAATAGGTGTATTAGGGGTAAAAAATTAATATTTACTCCTATTTGGAGAATTTTAGGAGTTAACTCCTATTTAGGGAAATGTACGGAGTAATGTTTTACTCTTATATGAAGCAATTTCCCTATGCATGTTCTATACTTCTATGTCCCAAAATAATACGGAGTACTTCGTATAAATTTTACAATTTTCTATCAAATATTACGCAGTACAATAATAGAGTAATGTCATTTTTAGTGATAGAAGCATGTCAGAGTAGTCTAATAAATGGAGTGTTGGAATAAATCCATAAATACTTTAATCTTCATATTGGAATTATCTAGAGAATTGACTGAGCGGAAGCGTACCTGACTCCATAGGAGATATCTTTGGAGATCCGGGAGACGGAGGCTAGGGTTTGCGTCTTCTAGTTGATACACACCCTCGGGAATTATCTCTCTAGCGATGGGATGCAGAAAGACGGAATGACGTGCTCAACTAGGGACCATAACCCCTCTATTTATAGAGAATGTTTAACCCTAATCAGCCCATCATTAATTAGGTTAAGCCCGTGGGTTTATACACAATTGGGCCCTATACCTTATTAGATAACTTATTAGCCCACTTAAATTAATATCCATAGGACCACTAATTTTTGGGCTAAATACAAGATAGCATATAACATACAATTAACCCAATAAATAATATATTGTGAATATTATATGTAGTATAACTGTATAAGTTCAATAATCTAACAATCTCCCACTTGGACGACATACACATATATATACACAATCCTTAGTATTGTATGTTTACTTTAGGAGCTCCAGAATTTTGCTATCAAACTGTAGTCATCTTTAATCAATCCGGTCCATTAATTATATCAACATAGGACCAAAGAAGTCTTTGCTATATTCACATAACTAGACCCATCAATGATCACATATATTAATATAATAAACGACATGGATCAAGTATAGGTGTGTAGCGTGGAAATAACATGAAGTGTGGTCTGGAATAGAATGTCTATTTCCAACTGGTCCATCTTGAGATCAATAATGTAACTGTAAGAGTACATAAAACTTTAAACTTTAAACTTTATTTCTGCAGAAAATATCCTTAAAAAACTGAATTAACCAAAATTATAGAAACATTACAAACTCCCACTAAAACTCATAATCTTCAACTGATTTGACACCCATTTGAGCAACATGCTCATGAAACACTTTGGGTGGCAATCCTTTAGTGAGCGGATCCACAATCATGGAGTTTGTGCTAATGTGTTCTATAGATAACTTTCCTTCTTGTACTCGTTCCTTAACAGCCTTAAATTTGACCCCAATGTGTTTTGCCTTGGTCAAACTACTGTTGTTCTTAGCGTAGAGGACTGCTGACCTATTGTCACACAATAGCTTAAGTGGTCTTTCAATGCTATCCACTATGCGCAGTCCACTAACAAAATCTCGCAGCCATAATGCCTGATTGGATGCCTCATAACATGCTATAAACTCTGCTTCCATGGTGGAAGTCGCTGTAAGAGTCTACTTGATACTCCTCCAGGAGATAGCTCCTCCAGCCAGAATATAGATGTAGCCCGAAGTGGATTTCAAGGAATCCTGACATCCAGCAAAATCAGAGTCGGTATACCCAATGATCTCAAGCTGATCCGATCTCCGATATGTGAGCATATATTCCTTTGTTCTCTGTAAATACTGCATGACCCTTTTGGCTGCTTTCCAATGGTCCATTCCCGGATTGCTCAAATATCTGCCTAACATCCCAACAATGTATGCTAAATCAGGTCTTGTACAAACCTGAGCATACATCAAACTTCCTATAGCCGAAGCATAAGGAATGTTCCTCATTTCTTTAGATTCAAAACCATTCTTAGGGCACTGCATGAGACTAAACTTGTCTCCCTTAGAAACTGGAGTATCTCCTGGTTTGCAGTCTTGCATGCCAAATCTTTTGAGAATCTTATCGATATAGCTCTTTTGTGACAGTCCAAGAACGCCTTTGGAGCGATCTCGGTGTATTTGAATTCCTAATACAAAAAAAGCCTCACCAAGATCTTTCATTTCAAAATTCTTTGAAAGAAATTTCTTAGTTTCGTGCAATAAGCCTATATCGTTGCTAGCAAGCA